TTTTTACAAAAAAAATATCTTTCTTAGTTCTCCAATTAGACCATGCAAAATTAATTAATTGGTTTTCATAACCCGGCCGAGTCAAAATTTGAAAACTTGTCAAAAATTTTTTTTATGTTTTAATAACCGGGTAGGTTTTTTAAAATTTTTTTTAAAAAATTTTATAAAATTTTTATATATGAAAATTAAAAAAAAAAAAAGCCAGCCGGCCGGGTCTGTTTAAAAGTTTCATGTTATAAAAACCAAGATATTAAATTTGTATGGCCTTATTTAGCGGACAAGTTTCCCGCTAAGTTGGACAGTTAAGAGATGGCGAAAATTGGAAATTGCGGATTCATTTCCTGTGACAAAGACAAAAAAAAAAAGAATGACATCGTATTCTTAAAAGAATAAATATTCTATCAATGCGTTAAAAGTTACCTGTTTAACTCGTTCGCAAAGGTCATCAAAATCCTGAGGCCTTTGACACAAAAATCCCAAAAGCATCGAGGGATCCATTTCAGTAATATCCATTGCTCGAACGATTGTAGAATGGTAATCCTTAATAAATATGACGTTTGTTATCATAAGAATAACTATTACACATACGGACCAAAGTAACAGAATACATACTTCAATCGGAAATTCTGGGGTTTTACTGAGATTTATTGCAGGTCGGACAAAATGTGGATCAAGATAAAAGAACTCATCATCTAATCATGTGTAAACTAATGTAAATTATCGAATGATATAAAATATATCATATATCATATTTTGTAAGCATACCCTGAACTGCTACGAAATATAAAGACTTTCTCGGTCTACCGCCTGCGATTCCCAAGAATTGAGGAAAAGTAAACATAATCTTGAAATTATTGCGTATTAAGGAAAGTATTAATAATTAATATTTGTAATTATCAAGATTAATACTGTATAATACTTTATATATAAATACCTTCAAGTTTTCAGAATAACTTGGATTAAATCTATCAGTACCCAATCTAAAAGAATCTAAAGCTATAAAAATTTTGACTCTAACTATTCTAAAAGAATATGAAGGATAAATACAAACCTAATAGATAGTAATATAAGTATAGGCTTCCAAGCCTTTTGATCACATAATAAATTGTTATCATGTTCTACCATAGCTATATTAATCACCTCTGTCCTATATATGTTGTTATCCGTTGGGACATAAATACTTAGCGGGCATTCTTTATGATTCAAAGATAATCTCCTGCAATAAGTTTATAAAAAAGAATTAATATAGAACAGAAATGAGAAAAGATAATAAGCTTGAAACCGATCCTACTTTAATACGTGTGCTACAGTAGCGGGACCAAACCAATCACCAATCTTCTTATCAAATACAATACCCGTACGTGCGATGTTATGAATAGAATAGTATTGTTCAGGCTCTGGGCCATCCATAAACCATCGCAAAATCTTTCAAAATATATAAGAAATTTATCAAATAACAACTAATATAGAAAGATAATCAATAACCAATTATGTATAACGATCATACCTTGCGATATATTAATGTGTCAGATTCTGTTTGTGGATTGTGTAACCGCCAGTCTGTATAAAATAATGACCGAAAATGAAAAATGCATATCTTAAAATTAATTTCATAAAGTATAATTGCAACATCGCTATATTTAGTAAACCAATGCATAAAAATATACCTCTCCCTAAAAGAGTCCATAAAAACCCTTGAGCTAATAAACTCTGACCAGTTCTATGCATACAACCCCAACCTGTATCGGTGGTATGAAAAGCCGGCTCGATAGGAAGAAAATCTTTCCGATAACAACAAAAAATTCTCGACTGAAAGTCCAAATAAAAGTCCATCAACTTTTTCTGATTTAGTGACAATGGACCAAGTGAGTCAGGCTTATAAAGACTAGTTGGTGTTGATATTGATTGAAATGAGCCAGTTGACCGAACAGATCCAGTATCGGATAACTTTCGTTCATGCCAAATATTTGTATTAACTTGCAAGTTTGTTTTTCGAGATTGTAAATTATCATCCAAGACACCTTTGTTATCAGAATCTCTAGATAAATCAAAACGTTTGATTTCTCTTCGTGCAATTGACTCCCTTGTTACGGTTTCCACAGAAATATTGTCACCAGAAAGTGCATCCAGTTCAACTTCTTCAGTTCTTGTGTTGGTGTCGCTATCATCACTATCTCCAGAGCTATATAATATATCTTCAGAATATGAAACTTCGGCGATCTGATTTCTAGAATTATCAATATCTTCAAAACTTGTGTACTTAAGCTTTGACTCATTTCCAAAAAATTTAGAATCCAAATCACCTTCTATTTCTGCATGTGGATATAATTTCCGTGAAGAATTACCAAGCTTATTTTTCTCCTTACCCGAGAAAATTCCCGAAAAAGTCATTCTACGAGGCTTTTTTGGCTTTGACGAAAAGACACCGTGAGCAATGACATTTGAAGGTTCAATCCCTTGATTTGAAATTGAAAAGGTACGTAAAAAATTTGAAGTAATTGAAGATCGCCTTGAATTTGGAGCTTGTAAATGATTGTTCGATGGAGGTGAGAGCTTTGAATTATCAGTTTTAATTGCGGATGAAGATTTTGAATCCGTTTGTGAAATATCTGAAGAATCAGATGTTTTGTCGAACGAGAACGAATGAAAGCGTTTACCAGCTTGCCTATGATACGCGGAGTTCGAAGATCCAGAGTTAACACGATTCTCAATATTTGAATGCAATAAATCTGGATATGATTTATTTTCAGGTGGAGGAGATTTTTGGGAGAACGATAATGACCTTAAACGTTGGATAACTATATTTGGCGTCGACGACGAGCTGATAGTAACTTTGGGAGTTACTTTTGTTGAATGAGGCACACTTAAATTCTGACCGTCAACACCACACGTAGTTTGCAGACAAGAACGAAACTTGCCTATTTTATGTGATTGAACAGGACAATCATTATGATGTAGATCATGTACAGACATATCATCATAATCTTCGTCTTCTTCAGATGATCCGAATACTAAATTTAAAAATGAAGACGCCCGACTACTTCGAGCTTTCTCATCTCGATCAAATTTTGGAAGGTTGACGGATCCGCAATCCTCTATAAATCATACAACCATCAATTACTGAAAAGATAATCATATTGGAATACGGACCAATTAAGCGTTAATTTACCCGGAAATTCATATTCTATTCCAAGCATCCATATTGAATTCGTTGAATATATTTTTTTGACCCTAGACCTTTCATCTGATTTCATATATTGAACAAGTCTCGTGTTATAAAACCAATGCCTTTATTGAAAAATGTGTTTAGTTGTTGACATAAATGAATGAGAAACTAAGAAAAATATGAACAAATCAACGAATATTTTATGTGAATAGAATCCCCGAACAAAGATAACAGTTATTCTTTTACACATTAATGATTTTTAAAAAATCAATTATATGAGACTAACCCCATTTTTTGTAGAAGCTCGGTTGAAGGATTCTTGGGTACATCATAATCATTAGGAAGCTCATCGCCAGTTATTTCTTCGGGAGGTGAACTAGGAATAAAAGTGCTTTGTGAAGTGGAAGTAGAAGACACTTCAGCATGCAAAGAATCCACGGAAAAATCGTCAACACTATCCCACTCCTCTTGTCCTATCATTGTAGGTGGAGACGAAGGTGGAGTGAAAATTTTTATGATAGGCTGTACTGACTGCGACATTTCGAAAAAAATTTTCTTATATTTAATATATATATATAATATACACGCTATTTAAAAATAAAGTTCTGAAGTTCAAGTTAGAAACTTGTATTAAGAAAGAGTTAAAATCAAAATTTACATAAATTTACATTTGACGCATTTAGTTGTAAACACATTACCTGAGTCATCCAAGTGGCTTAGTAACAACTGTCCAAAACATGTGACTAAACACAGCATACATCAATATACGTATCAGATATAAGGAGCGTGAAGAAATACGTGCATACATACGAATTTACGTTTATATACTCAGCCTTTCAGCATTGAATTAACCTTTTAAATTTTGATACATAGTATACCATAATGAGGTTTGATTTGTTATTGATCGGCGCATGGTTTTTCCGAAATTTGTGAATTTTAACTTTAAGATTACGCAAATAACTGCGGATTATCCGTATCGCAAATTATATATATATATATGTGTATATTATACATACCCCAAATAGCTCTTTCTTATTCCTTTTCTGATATCAATTCAAAAATATAAATATGCTCCAATTTACCTAAAAAGATTGTATGTTATAAAGGAAATGTTTTTAATTTTATCAACTCTACATGGTTTAAGATTACGAAAATAATACAAGGTTCATTTTAGTTGCACTGATTGCACATTTTAATTATCATTAATAGTTGTGTGACAAATCCAACCCATAGTTGTATATATACGTACTTAAAATTTCTAAATTTTGCAAGTCAAATGAGTACAAGAGTATTTATTGTCTTATAGAACAAATTTTGTACGTGTTGTTAATACGTAAGGTTCTCAAGTTTTTGAAAACTTTGATATATTTAATGGCATGATGCAAGCACATCTAGTCGCATCAAGCCCGTGTTACTTTATATTTTAAGTAAATTTAATGGACAATGTTGCTTTAAAGTCTAAAGTCGGCAAGTGGCGAACTGTGCCTGATGGTTTTTAGGTGTAATACAAAATATTTAGCCCATTTAATTTGTATTTGGTGTTTAGACACTTATACAATAAATTACTGGAGTTTGTATTTTATTATTAAAAAAAAAAGAATTTAACTAATTTTAACCCCGGGTTAAAATTATAAATTTTAGCCACCCCATAATTTATTATAAATTTTTACTCAAATTTGAAATTAATATTAAAAAAAGAGTTAAAGTTTAGGGTTAGGGTTAGAAATAGGCTAGAATAAGGTTTTTTATAGTGCTGAATATTTTTACTTAGTGCACTAAACATAGTTATTTAAGCTGTTTTTGAATTATAATAAGGGGTGATGTTAACCAGGGGGGCAAGTTAGCAATATTCTAAAAAAAAATCTAAAAATTTGAAAATCATAGGGCATGATACCCGGTATAAGAAAAAAAATATTATATGTAAAAATAAGTGCTAACCATTTTTACTTTAAAATATTAATTATTTGTAATTTATATCTATAAAGTACGGATATGTATCATTTTATAGAATTCATAGACAAGTTCATTTTAAAGAGTTGAATTTACAAATAATTCATTTATAAACAATCTTTAGTAGTGAATAACTCCTGATCTATTGGTCTTTTTTGAATAATTTAATTACCAAAACGATTAACTTGATGAGATGATTATTTTGGTAATCAAAAATTATTCAAAATAGATTAGTAGATTAGAAGTTATTTACTATTAAAGGTTATTTATAAAAATAACTGCCTGTAAATTAATTGTCTTCAAAAAAAAATTTCAATATGGTGCAAACAGCTTAGTCATATCAAATATTTTCTTATAAATTTAAAATTATAAAAACTTTTTATCTAAAAGTTTAATTACAAAAAAACTATATATATTTGAGGTAGCTTTTGATAAGATCTATTAAACTATATATTTAGTTTTAAGTTTTTTTAAATTTTTATTGAAAAAAAATTATTTTTTAAAAGAGATTTTATTAAAATCAGCCTGGATGATTTTTTTAAAAATCATCTACAATATATATATAGTAAATTAAATTATACAGATCTATGTATATAAATATATATATATTTTTTGTTTATATTATTTGCCTTTTTTTGCTAATTATTACTTTTTTTTATAATACTGTTTTGTTATTGGCATTATCTTATTAATGTTGTTATTTGTTTTGTCATTGGTTGGTGCTTTTAGTTGTTCTCTAACATCAGTTATTAAGCTTTGTTTTTGCTAGTTTCGTATTTAGAATTGCAGATTGTGTATATTCGCTATGTATTGCTTTGCTTTTAATATTGGTTTCTTAGTTGTACTAACTCCTAATGTTTCGAAGTTCAGTTCAGTTCAATTTAGATTCAGGTTCAAGTTTAATTGAACCTGAACTGAACTTTAAATTTTGCAGATTTTTGAACTTGAACCTGAACTAAACTTTAAATTTATGAACTTGAACTAAACCTGAACTCAAAGTTTTGATTCAGTTCAAGTTCAATTCAAGTTCATGAACATGTTCAAGTTCAATGAATTATATATATATATTATATATATCAAAATAATCTACCTCC